AAACCACCCGACGACGCACTACTTCACTCTATTTCGTATGGCCACGAATAAGGGTAATCAATCTGTGCATATATGAATTTTACGGTGGGTCCACCGCAAATCTATTCTTCCTCCTATTCTTTTCATCCAAGGAACTCAACAAGTATTTGCAAAAAACTTATTATAAGACTGCCTCCGTTGAGGTGGATACCAAGCAAGTATACAACTTAAGAACGACTCGACAGCTGTTTCGAGATCAGTGTCTGCAGAAGTGGAAAAGGAGATCACCACATTCAATTTTCCACCTATCATTGCAGCAGCTCTGTAGCTGTCTCCCAAAAGTAGGCACCGTGATGACTGGATCAAGACGACCGGTAAATCACCCTTGAGTCAAGCTGATCTCATGCCACCAGTTCTAGGTGAAACAACCTCAGTGTAGGATTGTAGGCCATAATATAACATCAATGTTGATTCCAACAAGCATTAGAGATCATCTGTACACTGTTCATTGCTGGAGCGCAGGAAAAGCGCGCGAGCCACAAGATGCTTAAGCATCACACAACCTCGCAACGCACGCGGCAGAAAAACAATTTGAATCACGGCGTCAGCATAAACTAACGAACTAGACGGATGTCATCAAATGTTCTAAAGCACTCGCTTATTTAGCTACCTCGGGAGGATCGGAGTGAACGGACTTGTGGAACCCCGAGCGATGACAGAGATTTCGCTGAGTACTTGTAACAGCTGGGAGCAGCAACAAACTGGGGGCCTTGGTAGTTAGCAGTGGTGGGGTGGAGAGCAATGCTGGTAGGAATGGGTGAGTGTCCTTCCAAATCATAACACGCGTTAGTACGAGAAAAACCAGTTTTGATGAAACGGTGATGAGGACTGAAAGATAGCCCGATTAGTTCCAGAAGAAGTAAAGTATACCCAACATAATACAACTAGTTGTCGGGTAACCTGATTCATGCGTCATGCTAACCCTTTAATAATCACAACAGATGCCGCTGAGGAGGATTATGGCACAATGTCGGTGGTTGGTTTGACTATTTTGTTCGACACAGTGATGCAGTAAAATGCGCGATCAGTGTGGATCATCGACCATCGTTCGCATCTTCAGAAGCCAGCCGATGTTGAACAGATGCGATCATTCTCAGGCCCACGAAGTATTTCCTCACAAAATCCGTCGGCTAACCGAAAGACCCATTTTTATGCGTATACACACAGAGAAGTTACAGATATATTTCACAGACGCAGACATATTCTACTCTAAAAGCTCAATGGTGCAACATGCGCGTTGAAGTAAAAATTGAAGCAAATACGTCCCTGAGACCGCAACAATGACGTGGCGGAACTATCAAATCCATCTGTGACCTCGAAAACTTGACTATATGCGATTGTCAAACCCGATAAAAAAACACAAGCAGAATGCTCAGGGCGAACAATTGTTTTCGATTTCTTCCTCAGCATGCCTTCTACAGAAATATACTTATGAACAAACAGGTTTGTGGGACAGCATAGTGACACACCACTGCTTAGATAAAAGTAACCGTAAACAGCTCGTGATACGCATCAGATGATCTGGTGATTGGTGGCATATGGGATTGATGGGTGGCAGCAAATTCCTCTCGTGTAGTTGATGGCCATGCAAGTTGCAATGCTTGAATGAGCTTCTTTTGGATGCAGAGGTTAGGCTACATCAGTCTTATGCTTACTGCTTCAGCAGTAGCAAGAAGTCGTGCTGCTAACTGATGGGTCAAGTGTGACGGCACCTTATCCAGGATTTCGAAGGCACTACTTTTGTCAGTATTGTCCCCAGTGGCAATCAGATGGTGATTAGATCTGTCTCTGCGGTGGGTGAGCGAATTCGGTAGGTGCTCCTTGATTCGATTTTCTAAGCGCTTGGTCATACGTCCAATATACCTAGCTCCACAGCAGCAGGTGAATCGGTACAGTACATCCGATTGGAGGCGATCAGGCAGTGTCTTTGAATCTAGGGACAACCAACAATTCGCTCGTATAGATCACATAGACTTCAGCTGTGTTGAAGGTATCCCTGCAGGCTTGCATCAATCTTCTTGTACAGATCTCAGCCGCTTTGTTACTATCAAAGGGGATCTTAAGGAACAACTGTTTTTTCGCAGCCATTTGCACTGTTGGCTTCAGGTCTTTACGCCTCATAGGCGTGTCAATAAAGTGTTCTGGATAGCCATTCTCAAGTAGTGTGCACTTGATTCGTTCCAGTTCATCTGCAATCGTGCGCATGGTCAGTCAACGTATGGATCCGTGTTCTTTTGCGGCTGAGGGGCACAAAACTCTGGAAATGTATATACTATCCCGTCCAATATGGCTTTCTGTATTGTCCGAACTGGTTTGATCCGTCGGCTCTACCCTTTAGATTGACATCCAAAAAGTGCAGAGGGTTGTTGCTTTCTTCTTCAGCTGTAAATGAAGCATTAAGATATGCACTGTTAAAACGTTCGACGACGTTCTGCAAGTTGGTCCTCAGATGCACTCTGCAGAAAACGTCGTCTGCTTAACGTCGATAGAATTTGGTTGAAATGACCGGTTTCAGCGATTTAGTTTCCAGCATTTCCATGTAAACATCTGACAATAGTCGTCCAAGAGGTGATTCCGATGCTACTAATTCTATCTGCCTGTATAATTAAATGTTAAACTGAAACTGGATGTTGTATGTGCATCTGAGCAAAAGCTGCTTGAGCTGACCAGTTGGGATCTCCATGCTTATCTTTTGTCGGTCAATGAAGGAGCAAAGAAAACCTACGGTTTTTGATAGCGGAAGGTTGGTGAACAGTGCTACGAAGTCCAAGGAGAGCATGCTATAGTTCAGTATGTTTATACTTGACACTTCCGACAAATCGGAACGTGTAGCTCAGGTGGTGAGGGACTATCTTTTTCCTAACAGGATCCAGTATCGATGTTAGCCACTTTGCGGTGTGATACGGCGTTTCTCATATCTAGTACTGGCCTCAAAGGTGTGTTCGGTTTTTGTAAATGTTTTGGTAGGCCATATAATCTTGAATAATGGACCCAATGGGTCTGAGCTTTTCATACTTTTCTTTGTTCATATAGCCGTCAAGCACCACTGACTTCAAGAATTGTGTCAATTGCGTTTCCGTGTATGCTGTTTTGTCTTTCTCTTGCTCACACTTTATAAATCTGGAGGTGTCCGCGAGAATCAGTTTCATCTACTGCAGATATCCTTTACGATTAATGATCACGGTTCCTGTTGATAATAGCCTCATTCCGTACAAGTACTCTCACGACTTCTATGTGTGCCTTTGTCAGCAATCTGAAAATAGATGCAGACGAGGTCTGACTTAAATCGTTCGAGATCCGTATCTGAATTAGCTACTAAGTTCCTCGTTTGACTGTATAGACGTTTAAACTGGGTTTCTACTTCCAGACTGATCTTTTCTCCAGGGATGGCAGGAGTTAAGGCCTAGTGAAAGTACTTGCATTTGTGGTGTGTCCCACTGCACACTTGAAAGGTTATGTACAAGCGAATCGTTGGTCGTCCCTAGATTAAAAGACAAAGTGCCTGATGGCCTCCAATCAAATGCAATATACCGACTCACTTGATCCCGGGGAGCTAGGTATATTGGACGCACGACCAGGCACTTAAAATATAAAATCAAGGAACACCTACCGAATTCGCTCACCAACCGCAGAGACAAATCTACTCCAAGTGCAATCATTAATCATCTGATTGCCACTGGGCACAACACCGACGACAGTAGTGCCTTCGAAATCCTGTATAAGGTCCCGTCACACTTGACCCATCAGTTAGCAGCACGACTTCTTGCTACTACTGAAGCAGTAAGCATAAGACTGATGTAGCTTAACCTCTGCATCCAAAAAAAGCTCATTCAAGCATTGCAACTTGCATGGCCATCAACTAGACGAGAGGAATTTGCTGCCACCCTTCAATCCCACGTGCCATTAATCACCTGATGCGTATCACGAACTGTTCACGGTTACTTTTATCTAAGCAGTGGTGTGTCACTATGCTGTCGCACAAACATGCTTGTTCATAAGTATATTTCTGTAGAAGGCATGCTGAGGAAGAAATCGAAAACAATTGTTCGCCCTGAGCGTTTTGCTTACGTTTCTTCACGCGTTTGAAAACCAAATGGGCATTCTGAACGAAAATTCTGTTTGACTGGTTCCCTCGAAAATGGAAATTCGGTCAAATCGTTCGTTAGGAGCATCGTACGCGCAGGGACGTTCAGTATGTTCATAGCGCGAGTTACCGCTGCAGAAACCGGCCGACAAGTTGTTGTCTATCGCCTCGGACAAACACCCAAAAAGATGATAGTTAAGCCCAAGAAAAAATTGCCGAGAGGAGTGGTGGGGCCACCAAGGTTTTCAAAGGGCGCAAACACTTGGAGACGAGGAGACACCAGCCTACTGATTAAAAATAAGGCACACAGTGCTGCATTGCGATCGGTGTTAATGTACAGGTTAGGGACGTAGCTAGTTCGCGATGGAAACCCAGTGAAACGGTTATGTGCCAACTTTTAGTGGAAGTAGTAGTAGTAGTAGAGACCCGGACATAGCTTATATACACGTCTAAACCAACCATGAATTTAGTGCAGCGCTTATAGCGTCTCCTTGTCTGGTGATCTCAAGACATACTGCCGAAAGGGTGGCAATGATTCCATTTTTTGGTAAGATTACTGCTCATCTGTCTTGTTTGTCGCAAGGCAAATATATGCACACCATTGAGCGCTACCGATCGTAGTTGAGTACAGAGAATGAGTCGGATCGAGTAAAGAACATGGGGAGACAATGAGCCCCAAGCGACGGGAGCATTGAGCTTGTAATTTCGAACACAGTGTGTACGGATCGTTACATTACGACAATTCCCAAAACTCAAACCAGATAAAAAGACTTCACCGTGAAATGAAACATGTACAGTAATTACAAACGAATGTACAATGGGAAGGAAAGTACAAAGTCAGGAAGCGAGATGGGCTGCAACGCCCGTATCACTGAAGTCAGAAGCCGTATTTTGCCCGGTTAGATGCCTTGTTATGGCGTGCTTCGGACCACCGTTTCTCCAACTCCATTTCTTTCTCTTGAGCCTGCGAGTGAAAAGAAACAAGTGAATATGTCAAAAAGTGCATTCGTAAGTGGCAGTGTGTGTGTGTAAAAAAGGATAAGGTATCAGCAATACACTAGCACAGTGACACGAGACCACCAAAAGTTGTGCAAGTGCTGGGTATATCGCAAGTTCGCCCGCACCTGTACTTATCAGAATTGGTGACCTCCGGAGTACAACGCAGGCGCATAATCCTTTCGGGCACGCGCCGAAAAATGAGTTACATGTTACGTGATCGATATGTGCTCTATTGACGGTAGGTTGACGCACGTCATCTGGAGAAATACTAACCACAAGTTAAATTCGGAACAAGACCCAAGCAGACCGCCAGCGTACGTGTGTAAAATCACCGAATGACCGTTACTTTCCTTAGGGATTCCGTTAGCTGTGCGTGACAACTGTGCTAACGACGATAACCGTAGTGCTTGGTGGTTAAGACCAACAGGTGGTAGAGAAAGCAATGAGGCTGGACCTTACCGTGGTGCGATGGTTTGCGTGCTTCAGAGATCCATTGAGCTATGCTAGGTGGTGCTCTTTTGTATCTTTAAAGCCACTCATACCAGACTGGTCAATGGTAAGAGGCCAGATAAACTTTGTCTCAGGTTGCAGGTTGGAATAAGGTGGCTCCTTAATCCTGAAGACGGACTCCTTGTAGTCCAACGCCAAACCCGCTGCCTTGCGGCCAGATTTTTGAACCCAAGGCTTTGGTTGAGAACCCTAATCGTTCTCCTGTCTAGGCCTGGGCAACCTGACAGTATCCTGCCCAGGCAGTACTATGAATCATTCATTAAACAATTTCTTGATGCTCTGGCCACCGCAGAGGATAATCAACGGTGCACTATCTGCTGCATCTAGCAGCGTGGATAGGGGGTTTGGATGCTAGTGCTCAAGCCTACCCATCTTCTTATTCCACCACTTACGCGTTTTCACTCATACCGTCCACTTCCAGCTTCACATTTATCCCCCCCGTTTTCAACCCCCCAATCCTTGGTCCTCCTCCACCTTGGTTTGATAGGCTTTGACCTTTTAGTTTCAACTCACATGTGAACGCGGAGCGTCACTCCTCTCCTATCGACAAGCCCATGTCCAAGCAAGCGGCCAAGCCCAGTTCATCGGCTTCCATTTGGAGCCATCGATCCTCCTTCAGATTGGCATGCCTCAATGTACGCATATCGCTACAGATCGGTCTACAGGCAGCACTTGCCCGAACATTAGAAACCCACTTGATCGATATCTGTTGCTTATCGGAGACCCGCCTGCAAGACTCGAGCTCTGTGCTCACTTTGCGATCCTATTCAGGTGACACCAGCAGCACCTTCTCATTGCGCCTATCTGGTGACGATGAAGCTTCGAGCACCGACCAAGCCAGTGTTGGTATTGCCCTGAGTCCCCGGGGTGAAACTGTTCTGGTTGATTGGATGCCAATCAGCGGCCGGTTGTGTGCGGTCTGATTGGCTAGCTCGTTCAAAGCTTCGAAGCCGCACGGGAATAACAGGTGTCTATACGTCATCGCTGCCTATGCACCCACACACTGTAGCGATGACTCGGTAAAATACGGCTTCTATCGCCAACTGACCAAGCCCCTTCGCCACAGAAGAAGCTCGGACACTGATGTGCTGGCTGGGGATCTGAACCCTTAAGTTGGATAATTATCCATTGATGAACTGCATCTGGGCGGCCAACATGGTGTTGGCTCTCGTAATGATTATGGTGAGCGATTACTTCATTTGTGTAAAGATGCTCGCTTATTTCTGGCAAGTAGTGATTTCCGACACAGCACCCGCCGGAGCGTGACTTGGCGCCCACCAGTCTCGGACCAGATATGGACGCAAATCGATCACATTCCGATAAGTTACCGGTGGAAAGGCTGCGTCCAGAAGTGTCGCTCGATTTGGAGTACGGGTGTGGACACCGACCATGCACTTGTGTGTGCTGACTGTGGATGGGTTTTTGCGGACGCCCACGACGACGTTGTAAGCACATTGACACCAGCCAACTGGCGAAGCCACCTGTTCTGAAACCCTATCAAAGTACGCTGTCATGCGAGTTGCAATTGAAGCTCATTAGTCCCATATTCACTAGATCATACTAGCAGCAGGAAAATCCTCATGTGGGAAGTGTAATCGCCAACATGGACATTGGGCCTCTTCACAATCTCTGGAACTTATAGATGCTCGCCGACATATTCCCGCTGGGAGCGAGCACAATCATACTCGCAAAGAGCTCCGGGTTAGCCTGAAGAAAGACCATGAATCCTGGTAGTCTCATCGTGCATCAGAGAAGGAAATGACCGCTGCGCTTGGTTACCATAGTAAGGTATCCTGGCTGATATGGGAAATGGGCAGCAGAAGACCTGGTGTTAGTGAAAATATACGTGACGACAGTGGACAGCCAATACACAACTTGTCAAAACGCTCGAAGCATTGGGCTGAGCACTTTGAAAGGCAATTTAATCGGTCGGAATTGTTAGACTTCTGGCCGGCCACTGGTCGCCCCAGCTTCGTGGGCTGTCACTTTGGATCCACCCTCTCGCTCAGAAGTCGAACGTGAGAGCGAACTGTTGAAGATAAGTAAAGCCGCGGGATCAGACGATCTTCCTCCAGCCCTCTTCAAATTCGGGAGACCTGCGCTTGTGGATGATTTACAAGAGTTACTAGTGAAACCGTGGGAGCAGAAAACCGTCCCATCCGACTGGAGCCGCTCCGTCATAGTCTTAATTTTCAAGGAAGGCTCAAGATCGGAATGCGGCAACCATAGAGGAATCAGTCTGATCTCCATCGCCTCCAAATTACTCGCCTCTGTCATCCTTCACCGAATGACTGGCACTTGTGAAAGCCATATTCGTGAAGAGCAAGCCGGATTTCGTCGAGGTCGTGGCTGCATTGACCACATCTTCACTTTGCGTCAGTTGTTGGAGCACCATCACATATATTGACGGTCCACCGTTGTCGTGTTCCTCGATATCAAAGGTGCATCCGATTCGGTGGATAGACTTACACTTTGGGATTACCTACTCAGAAAATGTGTACCAGAAATATGTAAATATTATCCGAACATTATACGCATATAGCTCAGGCAGATTGAGGGCTTACGGCAAGCTGTCGTCGCCCTTAATATCTCCAGCGGTGTGAGACAAGGAAGCTCTCTGTCGCCTTTCCTCTTTAACTTCGCTATTGACGAAGTCATGGAAATCGCGTTCACAGGACAAAATTTAGAAGATGTGGATCTGCTCTCAGGTGAGCGAGTTCTTGACTTGGAGTAGTCTGGCGACATTGTAATAATCTGTGACAGCCCACAAACATGTCAAGCTACACTGGACAGATTAGCACCGGCTGTCCGTCACTTCGGGCTTTGCTTTGCACCATCGAAGTGCAAAGCGTTCCTCCAAGATTGGCCTGGACCGCCTCCTACGCTGATCCTTGGTGGGAAACAGCTAGAAGTCGTTCAAAAATTCAACTACCTGAGAAGTTAAATCAGCGCCCGTGGGATTAAAGGTGGGATCGCGAACCGTATAGCGAAAGCTCGAGGCGCTTTTACTAACCTTCGCCACTTATGGTGGCGGCGCGACATCATTCTTGCCCTAAAGGGTAGAGTCTACGACGCAGCGGTAGATTCGACCCCACTGTACGGTTGTGAAACCTGGCCCCTTAGTTCAACGGACATAAGGTGGCTAATTACGTTTGACCACCGGTGCCTTGGAAATTTAGCACACATCTGGCGGAAACACCAAGTGTTCGACGCATTGTTTACGGCGCAGGAAAAGGAAATGGACCGCTCAGCACCGTTATTTCACGCAACACGCTCCGATGGCTCGGCCACGTGTTACGCATGCCAGCCGACCGACTCCCGCGACGTGCGTTGATTGCGCGCCGGGGGTGTGGATGGTAGAAGAGGAGGGGTGGCAAAGCGATGACTTGGTCAAGAGGAGTGAAGGCCGTCACTTCGAACCTGGCCTCGGTTGGAGTGTCTCGGCTCCCAGGTTGGGGTCCGAAAGACGATGAACACGTTCGGCTGGATACACTTGCTAATATGGTTTGGAGCCAACCTCAGTGGTACTCATGCTGTGAGTTTCTTTGTCCCACCCCATCCCTCTTATCCTTCCCCTCCAACCAGGATCTCACTATTTAGTCTTATATAATTTTGCATAGTAATTTTATTGCCACATAGTAGTCGGGAACGATGTCCATCCGTTACCGGTAGCTCAGCTGGCTTGCATCTGTTGCATTTACCCCTTTTCTCCTTTATGTATTGCGGCGCAGTAGCTGAGGTGTTTAACACCTCTAGTTAATGTGTATAATGATGATGATGTTTAATCTTACTGTGCAACATAATGTGGCTCCATGGCCAGTAATTAGAGGGCTAGAGAGCGCAAGACAACCAGTCTGAAGAATATCTGACATCATAAACATTTTAGTAGGCTACCCATGAAGACGGAGTAATAGAAGGGTACGAATGGTCGTTGAAACACATCACACATAAATATCCTAGTACACACCCCGGATGCAACATGGATATCAGGGTTTCAGAGTGAGACCAAAATTAAATTCACATGGAGTAGAACGTCGTCCAATTGCTGACAGGTCCCGTATACAGCTGGTGTCATCCACGACCGACGATACCGGTGAGCATTTGGGTTGTGCTATGTATGGTCCCGGCCAAATCGCGTGTCAGTCATTTGAAATGCGCACGTGCGCAACATGGTTAATAAAACACAAGAATCATCATGATCAAAAACAGCCGTACAACAGACATTTGAACTGATGGTTCGCTGCCATACAACCATGAGCACCTATGAAATAAAGAACAAGAAGAGGGAGAGAAGGGTGACTTAACTGAAAACCTCAATGCTCTAAGCATACATTCACGGTCAAGGCGCCTACAACTTGTCAAGAAAACACAGTCACAAACAGCTGGCTATCGTGCAAAGATAAGGCGGCATCGGCGACACAGCTTCCTTACCGCTTTAACTGCCCCGCGTCATAA